TTAACTACTCAATTGACTGAGCAAAAATGTGATTCAAGGCTTGGAACTTGGCATGATTAATATTGGGGATCCATGATGATTCATGAAAGTCACATGGGACATTGGAAGTTCAAAAATCCTTGTGCAAACTCAAACCCTAATTTTGGTCATCAATGTTTGAGGAGGTGTCTTGAGCTGATCAAACCCTAGTGCAGTCTTGAGGCTAAGGAGATCTTGTGAGTAAATTATTGATAAGTGAGAGGGAAAATTTTGGGGTACAACAGTTTCAAAGGAACGTAACCAACAGAGGTTGCTGATAAGTGCAAATTGTAGCTATTTTTGTATACTTTTTGTTGCACTTATCAACTCTTTGTTGTTAATAATCGCTGAATAAATCCAACTTTTTTGTAAATACGTTTAGTTTGTATATATTTGTATTTTTGATTCATTTGTGTAACGTTTGATAGATTTTACTTATTTTGTAGGTATTTGTTACATTTTGGAGCATTGAAGAATAAAGTGTCGAAGGTACAACTCCATATGCGCGTTTTCCAAATAAAAGACCCAATTTTGAGAAGTTCTACTCAGGGGATCACGCTAAGCGCTTCATCTAGCACGCTACACGCAATTTTGAAGAATTTGGCAGAAGCTTTGTAATTGAGCCCGCCTAGCGCGGACAGCGCGCTTAGCGTGGTTTAGGTGGTTTAATGTGTATATATCAGCCAACCCGCTTAGCGCGGTATGCTCAGATCAGTTTTGTATAAATAGTTTAGAAATAGATTTTCTAGGTTTTTATCATCTCTTTCCCTCTTGGAGGAGCTCTGATCCAATTCTTTGTCGCTTAGAGGTTCAAGCAACACCATTGGGTGGTTCATCATGTCAATTGGCTATGGGTGGTTTAGGATCGTGTTGACACCACGAGAAGTTTCCTATTTATCTCCTTCTTCCCTATGTATCCTTCCTATGGTGGATGTTGTGAATTGTTGGTATAATTTGTTGGATTATTATTAACTAATTAATTAGTTGATTAATAATAATAATAGTAATGTTAGAATTATTAGTATTAGTTGTTTGGCTTATTTTGGTGTTATGTAGTATTAAGGGGGTGTGAGAATTAGGCCCAATAGAAATAATACTATTATTATTAGGTTTAGTCACAACGATAGAAATTAGGATAATTTAAAGGGTTAAGAGAAAGAATAAAGAAGTGTTGTACGTGAGAAGTTACGGAGAAGAAGGAAAAGAGGCAAAGAGGGATTCGATCAGAAAAATTGTAGAGCAACCTTGAACCCAAGGTAAGGCTAGGATTCTGACTCTACAATTAGGTATATGATGCATGTTACGTGGGAATTGGGTTGTGTGAAATTGTTGTGTGTGATTTTTGTATGAATAAATTATTGTTTGACATCTGTGATAATTGTGCTAACGTTGCAGTGATTCAATCGATGAATTGAGTTGTGGAAATTGTTATGTATTAATATGGGTACAATTATTATATTATTGTGAATACGTAGTGTTGTTTTCCACAAACTCATGCCTTTTTAGCCAAAGAAACCTTACAGTTTAAGGCTTATTTCCCCAATCGAAAATTTCTTGTCAACAAATGGCTGCCCTTATGAATTTCAGAATCGTCCCAAGAATCCATTTGTTTATTCTACATATGCAAAAACTTCTTCCTCCGGACAACCTACTCCACCATACAACAAATCCTCACAAGGTAATGTTCAAAATCAATACCATTAACTTATCAACCTTCTTCAACATCACTTCACAAACAACACTCCTCAAGTTTCCATCCCTCTTGAATCTGATATCAACTAACTAATCTCCTCTTCTGGTAACGTCAACTCGATCTCTACTCCTTTAGTTAAACATTTTATGCCTTATATTATAGATATTGATGCTACTCAACATATAACTTATTCCCTATATAACTTTTCTACATACAAAAGCATTCATCCATTTACTATGAACATGCCTAATGGCACTACTACACATGCCACCATAGCTGACTCTGTCACCTTACCTAATGACATTACTCTTGACAATGTTTATTACATACCTAGCTTTAATGTCAACTTAATTTCTGTAACCCAACTAACTTCCATTTCTTCTTGTTTTTTAATTTTTTGTAACGATATATGTATAATCTTGCAGAATTTGTCCCAGTAAACGATTGTTATAGTTGAGTATTTTGGAAACCTTTATGTTTTACCTGTTCAACCTCATTCATCCTTTCATGCTTCTACTTTTACTACTACTTCTAGTTTAGGCAATGTCAAATTATGGAACCTTAGGCTAGGGCACATTTCTGACTTGATTCACAAATGTATCTCTACTCAATTTCCCTTTATTCCTTTTAATAAATGTGGCCCTTGTGATACCTGCCATTTTTCTCTCCTACTTTGTTAGTACTACTACTTCTAAATTTTTTGATATTGTGCATGCTGATATATGGGGTCCTTATTCTACCTCCTTCATTAATGGACATAAATACTTTCTTACTCTTATAGATGACTATAGTAGGTTTACCTGGATAATTTTGATGAAATTTAAAAGTGAAACAAGACAACACCTTTATACTTTTATATCTTTTATTGGAACTCAATTTTTCATGTCGTTAAAATGTCTTAGAAGTGATAATGGTCAAGAATTTTTAATGTATGATTTATTTAATGCCAAAAGGGATTTTACATCAGCGTTCTTGTGTTGAATTCCCCCAACAAAATGGTTTAGTCGAACGAAGACATCAGCACATACTTATTGTTGCTAGAGCTCTTTCTTTTTAAGCTCACCTCCCTAAAAATTTTTGGCACTTTTCAATCCAACATGTTATGCATCTTATAAATAAAATTTCTGCCCCTGTTAAAGCATAGATCCCCTTTCCAACTCTTATATAATAAAGCTCCCATATTACTACATCTTAAGTGCTTTGGCTTCCTCACTTATGCCTCCACAATACATGCCCATAGGACTAAATTTGACCCCGTGCTAGAAAAACAATCTTTCTAGGCTATAGAAATGGAACCAAAAGATACTTGCTTTATGACTTACAATCCCACGACTTTTTAATCTCTACAAATGCATTTTTCTATGAAACTATTTTTCCACTCCATAATTCTGCAAATCCCACCACCATTTCCACACCTCTACCCTCTTACACATATGAGGCTGATCTTAAGTCTTTACTTCTCCCCTGAACCCACCACACCTTACATAGAACCCCATAATTAACCTACCAGCCCTGCTTTTTCTACTCAAAATTCTCCCTTACCTCATGACACACCTTCACCGCCACCTCCCCTTATCCCGATAAGACAATCAACAAGGACCAATCACCCCCTACTTACCTCAAGGATTACCATTGTAATCTCCTTCAACCACATCCATCCACCAACACTACTTCTCATGGTAACCCCTTTCCTTTATCTTTTGTCTTACATTATGATAATTGCTCCCCTAATTATAGAAAATCACGTCTTTCAGAAATTGCTAAGAAAACGAAATTGGATGCCTTAATTTCAACCAATACATGGTCCATAATAGATTTACTAACAATAAAACATCGTGGGATGCAAATGGGTTTATAAAATAAAGTATAATGCAGATGGTTCGATAGAACGCTATAAAACTTGCTTGGTTACCAAGGGATACACTCAAGTTAAGAGTATCGAGTACTTTAAGTATCTCTTCTTTCTTTAACTTCTATAAAAGGTTAGTTTTTAGAACAACGCTCTTGGAAATAACGCTTTTGGAAATCACTTTAGAAAATAAAAGACTTCGGAAATCTCAAATTTTTTTCTAGGGATAAAGGTTGCCAGATCTTCCAAAGGATTCATGATCGACCAAAGAAAATATACTTTAGAATTTTTGGAAGAATCTGGCCACCTCGCTACCAAGCCTTTGAGAAATCCTTATGATCCCTCCATTAAACTTCACTATTATGATACTCCACCTTTTGAGGATGAATCTCAATATCAGAGACTCATTGAGAAACTTCTTTATTAACTACTACTCGATCCGATATTGCCTTTGTTGTCCAACAACTCAATCAATGTATTTCTGGTTCTAAAAAAATTCACTTAAAATTATTCACTTTATTGTAATATTTAAAATCTGCCCCTAAAACTGGCCTTTTTTATTCAGCTACTGCTAATTTATTATTATCTGCTTCTATTTCTAACATGGAAATCTAAGAAGCAAACTACAATCTTTAGGAGCAGCTCCAAAGCGGAATACCGGGCGTTGGCTAGTCTGACTTGTGAAATCAAATGGCTGCATTACCTCTATAAAGACCTCAATAGTCTTTTTCTTCATTTAACTTCTATCTATTTGCGACAACAACTCAACAATGTATCTCGCACACAATCCATCTTTTCATGAAAGGTCAAAACACATATATTGACTGTAACGTTGTCCATGAAAAGATCAAATATGGGCCCCATGAGCACTCAAACTCAGATTGCAGATTTTCTGACAACAATTATACTAATTTATTTTATTACCGTTGCAATATTTTTGTATATACACTAGGCACGGCCTCATGAAGTAACAAAAATTTGTTTCTGACTGGTAAAATTTTTTTACTGCTACCTCAAGCACTAGAACTAAGATCTACGAAAGCAACGCATTCAATACATAAGTCACTTAATCTCAAAGCTAGCAAAATTTTCAAGCAGCAGTATTCGGTTACGATATATATTGAATTCTTAAACTTCATTTCAACTTATTTAATCAGTTAGAAAAGACTAACAGAACTTTCTGGTAGAAAGAGTTTATCATATACAGGATAACTCTATCACAATGGGATTACTAGAGAAATATAAAATTCAGTTGAAGATAAAATTCAACTGAATAATAAAAAATCACAAAAGTAGAAATTAAGTTGTAAGCACAACAGCATGTGCAAGGGATTATGAAACATAAGTCATCCTAAAACATATTTTGATATGCGCTCGAGAGAAGCATGATAAGAATTCCTAGATCCAAATGTTTATTTTACCAAATAAAACATTTAAAACCTAAAGATTGGTTTTGTTCAGGTCATCAAAGTAAGGGTGCTCCATAGCTTTCTTTGCCGAAATCCTCTTGGAAGGTTCATACTTAAGCATTTGCTGAAAACAAAATAGAGAAGAAACATGACATTACTAATATAAAAAAGGACACCAGTCAATTGAAAGAGTTTAACTAATCAAGGCATTAACTTACAGAGAGTAGATCCAGTCCAGCCTCATCCAAATTGGGAACAGCCTTTGCAAGACTTTGAGGGCTCCACTGAGGGTACTCATGCCAGTTCATTAGTTTACTAACACCTGGCCACACCTCTTCATTAGGAGTCCCCAACAGCCTGAATATATGGAGGAGTTGTTGCAGCTCAGAATCACCAGGAAATAGTGCTTGCTTGGTGACAAGTTCAACTATAATAATCCACATGAAAGTAGGTTAAATAAAACCATGCTGCAAGATACGCAATACTAAGAAATAACACATAAGTCCTGGTTGAATAACATAAGTCCTTACCGAATATGCACGCAACAGACCATATATCCACAGCCATTGAGTAATGGGTAGCCCCCAAAAGGACTTCAGGAGCTCTGTACCACAAAGTTAGAATCTGAAAATGACAAAAGTTATGCAATCAGAAGCATTCAAGGATTACAAACCAACACACCTTGGATTTAAACAAACAAGAGGCCGGTGAAATCTTAGGGCACAGACTAAAACTGTGTGCCTATATCACAACATACACCATTTAGAATAAAGAGCTACTGAAATTTGCCTATGTCTTGTCAATTATCATGATATTACAACATGTTAATTAATTTTCAAGAAAGGACATAAAAACTATCTAATCAGGTTGTGGATTCAAACCTAAAAACCTCCCTCTTTTACCTCATGAGTGTACTTCTTAAGTGGCACAGTAAATGCTCTGGCAAGTCCAAGATCAGCAATTTTGAGCATAGTTGTTTTCCGGTCCATCAACAGATTGTGAGGTTTCAAGTCCCTTTAGTAATAAAGGTCCAACGTTAAGTAAATTATCGCACTAGCGAATAATCCATGAATCTATCTATCTGGGAGATATATAAAGTATACCTGTGCAAGATTCCATGGCCGTGGCAGAAAGCAACGCCCTTGCAAAGTTGGTACATCAGGCTCTGAAATGAAATCCACAAAAGTACTGATTACTTATTTGCATACGAATCTTATATAAACACAACAACAATACGAGAAATAAACAGTACTTTGATGGTTGGGGATGGGATGTTTTCTCCAGTTTGGCGAAAAGTCCGGATGAATTTCTTGAGATCAGTATCCATGTACTCGAAAACCAAGTAGAGCACAGTCTTCCCTTCCTTATTCTGTCCTTGTTTCACATCCAATAACCTAATAGAGAAAATGTCAAGAAAATTAACCTAATTTTCAATCCAATTGAAATTGAAATTAACTAGTTCAAATCAAATAAAAAGGTACTAACCTAACAACATGTGGATCGCGAGAGAGCATTCGCAAAATGGAAACCTCACGAAGAGTAGTAGGAGGAACCCCTTCATCGTCCTCATGAAGACGAGTCTTCTTCAGCGCAACGATCTTCCCAGTAGCTTTCTCTCTTGCTCTGTACACCTTCCCATAAGTCCCTTCTCCAACTTTCTCTAGCTTCTCAAATGCCTCTTTCGCCGACAAAACTACTCCTATACCACCTGATTTCTCCATTCCCACGATCTAGTTCTAAAATAAAAACACAAACTAAATTCAACAGCAATTTAACAAAGAAAAAACATCGGGATCAACAGTATAATCGATACTCCTAAGAACGAAACCAGATCGGAAAATCAAATTCAACAACAACTAGAACAAATTGTGAAGAATCACGAAGCGGAAAAATCAAGACACAAACCTGAAAGTGCGGAAGCTGCGATCGAGAGGGTTAGGGTTTGTGAAACTGTTCTTTACGATATTGAAGAAATGAAAATTAAGCGATTTTTCTTACAGAAATTTATAAATATATATAATAACGGAAATAAAATCGTTGCGCAACGGATACTTTCCTTTTGAATTTCAAATTCCGCTCTCTTTCGATGCTTCTTTGGTACTATGGGCTGGAAAATTACTCCTGTTTTTAGATTAATGCTAACTACACCATATATTATTTTAGTTGCACCCGTAACATTAATTTAACTCTCAAAATTTAGTCCTTATAAATATTATTTTTTAAGAAATGTTGAATTAAACTTTTAGTCAAGATTTGTTTTCAAGAAAATAAAACAAGATATTATATATGTGTATGAACGAAAAATAATTATTTAACTCTAAAATATAATTTAGAGATCATACTTATTTTTTAAAATCTTTAAGTTGAAGAAATGTTTTTCTTCCATCTTTAGTATTTTGTTGGATATATTTCAATAGGCTCGTTTCTTTCTATTTTCTTAAATTATTTTTATATTAATAAATAATTTTGTTGAAAAAAATTTATAAAGTTATTTACAAAAAATATTTAAATACAAAATTAGTTTAAATTTTTATTTTTAAAATGTTATTGTAGATATTTTATTTTTTTCTATAATTTTTTTATATCAAAATTTTTAAAAAATCACTTAATTTTAAATTATTTTATATAGTTTTTTATAAAAAATTATTTTTCAAATATATTTTTAAAAAAATTGTGATTTTAACTTTAGTCTTTAATAAGATATATTTATGTTCTAAGATGTCAAAATTAGTGTTTTCGTTTATAAAAAAATTAAAAAATATTTAATATTTTAAATGATATTTTTATAAAAGTCATTTTTAAAATACAAAAATAATATCTATTTTTAAAGTTAAACAAATGGGTCCAAATCATGTTCGTTATTTTAGACTTGTTTTGTTACTTACAACATTATAGAGTTTTACTCTTTACATACCAATTTTTAAAATTAAAAAAAAAATTTTGGGGTCATATTTAAATTTTAGAATTCTTAGGAAGTGATTAGAAGAATTTTTTTTTTTTAATAATCCTGTATTAAAAAAAATTTCGCAAATAACCACGTTTCGGAAAAAATTACACAAATAACCATGTTTCAGATGACTCCCCAAAGGAGGAGTCATCTCACTTGGCGCCTACACCTATTATTTAAGAGGAGGCGCCATCTCACTTGGCGCCTAGGTGTTTAGGGCATGCCCTAAGCCAAGTGAGATGGCGCCTTAGTGCAATTCTAGGGCAAATTTCGCTTTTTTTTTCAGTCTGGTGCGTTGCGTATTCGATACAGGATCAACAAAATTGACTTTTTATTATAAAAAAAATGATTACACCCTGTTTACCGTGAAAATTGATAAACAACCGCTGATCCTCCAAAAGGTTACTTATTTGGTGACTCGCAGGATCGATCAGATTGATCCTAAGACATGGTTGATTTTTGGGGTTTTGACTAAGTTTAATGATGGTTAAATGACAAGAAAATAAAGACACTTTATGTAAATTGCATGAAGAAAACTTGACAGAATAAAAGAAAGCTTTAAATAAAGGCTTCGACTGAGAAAAGTAAATGAAAGACAATAAAGTTCTGGAAAATAAATGACTTTGATTAATTTAAATGGTGTTTCACACATATATTCTCAACAATTCTTTCGCTCACACTGGGTACTTGAATCTAAATGAGTGACTTGTATATAATTGTGAACACACGCGAAAAACTACGTGAACAACTAATATTTATACTAAACACATCTCAAGTAACCGTCGGGCGGTTACGCTGCTTCGAGATGACTCCACTTGGCATGCTCACAGCATTCGACGCTCCTGATCTTGGCACGTTGCACTTGGTAACCGCTGGGAACCGTTTTCCCTCCAAACATTTGAATCTCAAACCGTTCCACTCTGTTTACCTGGGTATTTGGTAAACAACCGCTGATCCTCCAAATGGTTACTTATTTGGTTACTCGCAGGATCGATCAGATTGATCCTAGGACATAGGTTGATTTTGAAGTTTTGGATTAAATTGAATATGGGTTAAATGACAATAAAATAAAAAGGCTTTAAGTAAATTGCATGAAGAAAGGACTTGGTAAAATAAATAAGGCTTTAAATGAGAGGGTTCGACAGGAATGTAAAGAAGAAAGCAAGTAAATTTCTGGAAAAATAAATGACTTTGATTAATAAAGTTGGTGTTTCACACATACATTTCTCAACAATTCTTTCTCACACGCTGGGTACTCGAATCTATATGAGTGACTTTGTATAGAATTGTGAACACACGCGAGAAACTACATGACTACTACTATTTATACTAAAACATCCCAAGTAACCGTCGGGAAGTTACACTGCTTCGAGATGATTCCACTTGGCACGTTCTCAACGTTCGACGCTCCAGATCCTTGCACGTTGCACCTGGTAACCGCTGGAAACCGTTTTCCCTCCAAACGCTTGAATTTCAAACCGTTCCACTCTGAACCATCGAACACCTTCATCGAGAAGCATCTTCGACGAGAAACACCTTCGACGTCGAAGGCAACCAACTCCTCCCTTGGAAGAAATCTTCTAAGTACCTTGCCATCTTTCGATGGGCATTTCGACGGGCCTAGCTAGTCGAAAACATCTTCCAGCTTTAATGGCTGACATTAATAAAACAAGGGTGTCGAATTTAGGAGCCAACAAATTGCCCCCCAAGAATGCCTTATTTCGACTCTGAAAGAAAAAGGCATTCTTTGAAACGCCTTTCGACACCTGTCTTTTCACGCTTAGTCACAAATTAATTTGTGCACTTTTTGTTGTCTTCTACCAACCACTGGCAATCCCAAGAAAAACCATCATTTATCCGTACCTAAGACGTCACCTCAGTACGGCGTGCAGTGCCAAACGTCATTTCAGAATTTGTCATTATGACAAATCCCAAAAACGAGGACGCACGCTGCGTCCCTCTATTTCTGCAGAACGGCTAAAACAACAGGGGGATGCCACGTGTCCCACTATCTCCTGCAACATTAAATGGCATTTAATGTCCTCGGTTTTGGGGATTTTCCCCCACTACTATAAATAGCAGTAAGTACCCCATTGTGGGACTTTTTACGCCATCTAGCTTTCAGAATTCTCTGTTTTCATACAAACTTGTCATCTTTGCAAAAACCTTTCCTCCTTCACTTTGTCTTCAACCTTATCATTAACAATGGCATCTGGTTCCAATGCTCCTAGCACTACTGTACCATCTGGAAACGTCAAACCTAAGGTTTTCGTCACTGCTCCAGTAGTAACTTCCACGGGCCAACGAAGGGTCCCTGAACCCTTGGACATCGCCGTTCGTGATGCTTACTCACGCCACCTTATGATCCCGGTTGGATATTCCAACCAGATCTTTGCTATGTCTGGCCCCTTGTATCCAAGTATTGTTGAGGCCATGAAGATCAAGAGTTATTTTCCGGTAGTTGAGAAACTCAAACCGGTTGCATGCGCCAAGAAAGACGCAGAGGACAATGAAGACCCTGCGCATGAAAAAATCGACCTCCGTTTCTTCAACAAAGGTGTTAGGGCTTTCAGGTCTGGCCCTAGCCTTACTCCTGATTACGTTGCTTGGCTGGAAAAGATGGAGAAACGCCAAGCTTCGATCTGGAAAGACATGGGGATTTTTGACCTGGTGATGCTGTCGAAGACAGGTTTGAACTATTCTCCGGAGATGTTGATAGCTTCTCTACTTTTCTGGGACTACTCCCACTTTACTTTCCATCTTCCCTGTGGGATGCTGACTCCTACACTCTTCGATGTGGCCGCTATCACTGGCCTTCGACCCACCGGGGACTACTTCGATCCGGAGGAGATGTCGGAGGATCAAATTGGATTTTCTGACACCAAACCAACTTATACCACCTTCATCAATCATTATCACGACAGGTCGACAGATACTGTGTCGGATGTCGAACACATTGCGTTTCTAGCCTTGTGGCTGACTCGCTTTGTATTTTTCTCGAAGTCCTTACAGGTGACCAAAAAGATGGTCACTCTCGCCACTCAACTTCATCATCGCCAAAATATCTGTTTGGCAGAATTGATTTTGGCTAGCCTCTATGATTCGATTAGTAATGGGGCAACTCTTCTAAAAATTATCGAGAACAGGGCCAGCTTGCTACTTGCTGGGCCTTTTTGGCTGCTCCAACTGTGGCTCAATGCCACCTTCGAATCTTTCTTGCCTAAGAAGGTTCAAATAAATGAGCAGGCTCCAGAGATAGCGAACAGACGCGTCGAAGGAAACAGGCTGGCTCTGTTGACGCCTATGGAAGATGGACTGGAGTTTCAGCAAACTTTCACCAACTTCGTTCTGATGTTTGCTCGAAGGAAAGAGTTTGCTTCGACTATGGCTCTGTTTGCTCGACGGAAGGTAGGCCCAGCATGGTTCACAAGGCCACATCCAAGGACGTCGAGTGGTCCTAATGTCGACGAACATACAATAATGTGGGAGGCGTTCCTCACACCAAGGATCATGCCTCTTTGATTCAGGAGCTCTAAGACTCACTTGAGTCTGATTGCATACCAACCAAATCTGGTATCTCACCAGTTTGGTATTATTCAAACCCTGCCTTCTCCAATTTTTCCAAGAGAGAAGTCCATGTTGTATTTCTGCAATGATTACACCGAAGAACAGGCCACTAAACATATCGGAAGATATGCTGGTCGAACAGTTCTCTCGTTGTTTGACTACCAGCTCAACTTTCTTTGCTCACCATCCTTCGAGGAGTGGTGGAAA